GCATGAGACGAAATTTAAAATGCAGCAGCTGTTTGCAGCTTTTCTGGAGTTTAGAATATTAAACCCTAAAAAACCCACAGAGGTGATTAAGTATTTGGAGAAAAAAAGAAACATTCATCCTACAGTTCAACACTTTAGCATGATAATCTCAAATTTGGGGTACAGTCACCCTCTCTGCACCAGCCTAAGATTAGCTACAGAATAGTCAGGCTGGAATTTATTTATTTATTTTTGAAACAAGGAGATGCAAAAATAAATAAGTAAAACATAAGCTTGGCTACGTTCATTTCCAGGACAGGATTGTGGTTGCATAACAAAGCGCACAAAATATTTTGCTTTTTCCAAAATTCACCTTCCTCCTAAGATGTTTGTTCCTCAGGCTAAGAACAAAAGAGATGCTGAGTCTTTGCAGCCTGGAGAACCATTTATGCTCTTCTTCTTTGTAGCAACCTTTTCCATACTTGAAATAATTATCATGACTCCCCTCAATTATTTATTCTCTACATTAAACGGACCCGTATCTTTTGATCTTTCCTCCCTATTCATGCCGGGACAGCTTTTATGCAGAGGTGCAAACCGCTGCATACATTAAACATGTATTGCAAGCTCTAGGCTTTCCAGGGGCATTAACCTGAGGGGGTAATACCTGGCACAGATTGCACAAAGCAGCTCGTTTGAGCTGTTCCCATAAGACTCCATATGACGTGAGATTGTGCTTGATCTCATCTCGTCTGTTTCTACCACAGAACAGATTAAAGGAAAAAAAAAGCCAAAAGAAAACAACACAGGCAAGGAGTATCAGAAAGAAGAAGAAAAAAAAAAAAGACATGTAGACTCCCTTTGTATCATAACATCTTTTCCAAAATAGTTAAATGTTAATTTCTGTGTCCTCATTAGAACAAGTCTCACAGGATAATGTTGTCACCATAGCACGTCTTCCCAGAATTAAGGAGCCTGGGATCCATCGAAAGTGGCATCACTTCATCCTTTACTTGACATCCAACACTTCTGCCCCACCTTCCCACCTATGCACATAAAACTGGGTCTTACTGCTTCAATACACCAGACGCGGGCCCCTGGCACCACGGCTTCCTCACTGCCTCAAGGCTGATGCTTGGATAAGAGAGGAGAGCTTTTGGCAGGGGAGAGGACTGGCACCTAGAAACCAACGTTGTGACTGAGCAAGGGCGGGGGAGTCCGTGCAGGAAAGCTTAATATTAAAGAGGCACAGAAGCCTGTGAAGCCACATGAAAAGCAGGTGCCTGTCCAGGCACGCGGGCTACCGGAGAAAGGACGGAAGGCACAGCGCCATAATTACGCATCATCTTGTGACTGGTGCGAAGGCTGCCAGGAGCCAGCACGCTGCAGGACCGAGCTGATTGCTCTCTCAAGACAAGTTGCGGAGCGCCGAGCGCCCAGGGGAGAGCAAGTGAATCAGCAAGGGGCATGTCAGTCCCCAAGCACTGGTGTGCTGCAGAATTATGTCAGCATAAAGGTGATGCGCTGAGACAAGAGCTCCTTTGTTTATAAACACGCTAGAGACAACCAGGTTACTGTGGAAAGTCATTTTATTTCAGAATTTCACACACTCTGTCACAGACCATGCACTTAAGACTTTCCCCTTTGCAAATCCACAGCCTCCAGGCCCGGGAGAGACGGCGCATCATCTCTTCACTTCTCACTGCGAGTAGCCACATGCTAAGAGTGAGGGCCCTGATGGCAGCTCACCAAGAGGCAGAAAGCAGCCTCTTGTTTCCATAATTGTTTTTTAAACACGGGAAGAGAAATCCATCTGACTTGAAGAACTGGCGGTGGAGCTCAGCAGCAGTGAAACCCCACAGCTGAGCGAGTTGGTCCTCGCCCCACGGTTACAAGGAACAAGACGACAATCTCGTGGGAAGCTCGCGTGAGCTAAGCTATAGCAGAACACACAGAGGCATTCTTGGAGCCCAGGCAGCAACCAACCGAACGCACGCTCTGGGCCTCTTACAATCAATTTGTCTCTGAGCTGCTCTGCCAGGGAGGTGGCCAGGAGCTGCCCATTTCACATTCAGCTTTAGGTCCTCCTGCTCTGTGCTACAGCTTTGACTAGGAAGGAGCCTACTTCTAGGTAAG